CACAGTTCATTAGCTTGTGCAACACTGGCATTCTCTGCGAGGGTTTTGTGAACTAATATTCTTTGTATGGCTTCTTTCCTCAAACCTCAGTCCACTCTCTCCCTGTGCTTTGTGTGGACATATTGTCACTAAGGTGGCTAAGACATCCTTTCAACTTTCCTTATGTTTGTCGCTTCACTTCCAAACTGACCACTTGGACATGTCAGTTTTTTACTTAACACCTCACCAGTCCAAATTCTATGGCCTTACATCAGACTCAGAATATCTCCTTAAGATCCTTTATTTCAACTTGGCCACCTGATTCATGAATGTCTAACACCCTAGTATGTTCCTCATACAAAATGCAGTAACATTTATTATCTTTGCTTAGAAGATGAAATTTCAGTATACTTTAACAGACCACAAAAATGTTTAGTTTTGGAGCACACCGTTGAACAAAGCCTGCACTCAATAGATTTGGGGGGTGGGTGGTTTTGTTTCAAAGTCGTTATACTTTGCTTGACTAATTAAAAGAGAGGATTATTAAAAATATCCTTAAACTTTTAAGGAGTAATTTAATCAAGAGGGAATCCTACTTTCCTCATGTGACTCAACAACCTCTGAAGCCTAGATAAGTAACCAAATATTTCTTTCTGATGACGGATAACATTTAAGGGAGGAGAAGAAAGGTGGTTAACTTTTCAATGCCCAGCAATCCCTTTCCTGAAAGCCCATAAAAATGTAACACAATGAAATGTGTTCTCAAATTCTTATTCCTTGAATTTTTCTAGATAAAATATGAGTTTTGCGTAACAATTAAAAGAAAATTAAATCTTCAATGGACTATAGTCCATTTATGCTGAAGATTTATAATTCCATTCAAGCCTGAACATTAACATGTTTATTCACTTACATTCTTACTGTGTGCCCATATGCCTGGCACCAACACAGCTAAGTACTCGAGTTACACCTGAAAACAACCTAGAAATTCTCCTTGATCGCCTTGTGTGTGCTTCTTTTGGAGCTCACACGTAGTGTGGGACACTGAATAAGAATATTTTAAGGACAGTGGGTGGGTAACATGGGAAGACTGGCAATGATAGGAGAGGTCACAGTTCTCCAAAGTTCAGATGGCTCTGGAAAGGCCTAATGAAGTGGTCTACACATGCAGTTTTGGTTTTTGGTCTCGTCTCTACTCATCTTTCAAAACCTAGGTTGGATTTCAGGTCCTTCTAGAAGCCAAGTCTTCACGGTCTTCACGAAGTCTAGATCTGCTCTTCAATTTGGAGAACATTTTGTGTGATATCTCTATCCTGGCATATACCAGATGTGTGGGAATTACAACTGTTCTGTTTTCCAAATAGATAATGCACTCTGGCATGGTATACCTGTATGTTAAGTGTATTAAATTTTGTTAAATAAATACAGATTTATCAATGAAAAATAACAAGGATTAATCTCTGTCTAGATCCTCATCTTAGTAGCCGAAACAAAAGACAAAAAGAGACAAAAGTTTTAACCAAACTGTTTGGGGCTACCATTAGTGTCTAACATATCTCGGCTTCAGAAGCCAATGAGGTTACAATGGTTGAAATCAGTGTGTCAAAATATATACTGGTACATTTTAGCCCCAAAGTTCCAGAGAATACTTAACAGGAATTTTTTTGAGTCTGAAATTTAAAAATCTCTGTATATATAACAATAATTCTAAGTAGTTTGGGACTATAGTTATGGTTTTAAAAGACATAGACAATATACCTGCAATGAAACAAATATATATAGATAGTAAAAAATTAAAAGGGTAGCTAATAAGCTTAAAATTTGGGCTTTGGATATATATATTGTTTATATATACAAAAGTTAAATTTACTATAATCTAATAGTTCATAAGCTTATTTAAGTTAATATAGATATCTCAGCATTAATTTGACTAAAAGAAATAAAGAGTGGTCATAATTAATTCCAGAAGATTATTTTTATAATCTGAGCCTCAGACTGTGAAAACAGTGCTATCTGGTGGTTGAATCTGGGAACAAAAGGTGGGGAACATCAGAGGCTATAGAACTTACAAAAGGCTGCTTCTCAGTATTTCAACTTTGTCATGAGAAGACAAGATGTATACAAGTTATCAGCTCCTGGGTGGGAGAGGGGATTCGATATTTACTCGAACAGTTGTTTTCTGAGTATGACATTGTTGTGGTTCATATCTAGATGTTCCCCAAAGCCTCATGTGCTCATAGGTGGAGCTTTTGGGATGGTGGCGGTATGATACTCATTAGGGGATTAGTCTGCTGATGAACTTATAACTAAATTGATATTGGGAGGTGAAACCTGGTTGGACGATCTCCCCACCTTCTCTCTTGGTCCTGTGCTTCCTTCCTGCCATACCCTGAGTAGTTTCTCCTTGGCCATGATGCCCTGCCTTGGAGCCAGCTGACTATGGATTGAAACTTCTACTTATTATGAATTAAACCTTTCCTGCTCAAAGTTGTGGGTGTCAGGCACTGTATCTGAGCAATAAGAAAATAACTCAGACATGATAAAGAGATTAAGAACCTGGGCTTGTTTGAAGTCAGCCAGGCTGTGTTCAACAGTTGACTGTAAGACTTTAATCAGTTTATCAGAGCTTTTTAATCTTTTATTGTTTTCAACTATAAAATAGAGATAAAAATATGAGCTATTTTAGAGACTCTGAGATTAAATGGGATGATGTGTTTAAAATATTCAGCATAGTGCTTGGCATTCAGTAAGCCAAATGACTCAGGAAAAAATTAGCTTGTTATTAATCTTATTAATAATACTACTATTTTACTTAGGGTGTAAATTAGGAGGTAGAGTTTAAAATAATTGTAGAAACTCTTATAAATCTTTTAAAAACAGATTAAGAGATTAGTATCAATAAATGTATAGAAAATAAAATATGAAACATTAATTTTGTTTTAAGTACAAGAAGTAAGTTAAAAAGTAAAATAAGTTTGATGTTACATTTTGATCAACAATTCAGTTATGTGTTAGTGTTTTCAGTGAAAACAAAGCAAATTTTAGAAACATTATAAAGTGAACTCTCAAGTATCACCTTATTCTATAAATAATCATGACCCTTTTTTGCAATAAAGAATTTTTCCTAACCAAATATTATAGTTTTTATAACATGTAGACTAATAAGTACATCTTTATATGCCTACTTCTCAAGGATAAATTTGGTCATTTGGATTTGGTCATGTGGTTAGAATGTAAAGAAGAAATACAACAAATACAAATGGAAATAATTTACAGAAATATTTTCTTCTATTATATTTCTGTTAGAAAAGAGAAACTGATCTTGGTGAAAAATCTGCTTGACATATAATCCACTGATTTTGTTATAACAATAGTTTTAGACTTTAACATAGGATGTATTAGTTTTATAAATATGCAACTTTTTTTTATATAGTGAAAGACATAACGGAATTTATAACTATTTACTGCAGAGCTACGATATCCCAAACATTTTACTAATATTGTCCCCGGAGGACTAGGTTCCCCAAGGGTGGAGTATATATATATATAAATAATCATCCTTGCATAATATCTAAATTATTTAAATTAGGGTATGATTACTATATAATCATTATACTTTTGATCTTTAATATATTATCGTTGTTCTTTAATGTCATAGTGAGGGATGAGTCATTTATCTTATTAATAAAAATAACCTTACATATAACTTATATGTAATAAAAAGCATTATGCAGTAGGGATTGGAGAACCAACTGTGTTATTGTCATGCTGTGTCACTCTTGGGAAGTTTTTGGCCTCTTTGGCTTTCCGTTTACTCATCCACAAAGCAAAATAATCTCTAAGGTCCAGGATAATGCTATCTTCTAAAATTTTTGCCATAATTTAGTATGCCACATTGACTTGAAATCATAAACTCACAATTAGGCATTACTTAATTATTTACAATTTCCTGATTTCATTACTTATTTACAGTTTCCTGATTTCTTTTGATTATTCCAATTCTTTTTTCGTATTATAACAGAAAATGTAGAAAACCACAAAGACATACTGAAATAAATTTGAAAAAATGACCTATTAGAAATACTGCTGCAGAATTACCTTTCCTCTCATTTATTAAGCATTTACTATATAATATTTGCCTAGGGCATTTAGCATCCACATAGTTATTAAGAGATCATTACATTCTCGTCTTTCTTTTATGTACCTCATTATTTTAGGTTACCTAGAAACAAGGTAAAACTTTCCTTTTCTATTACACAGGAATACTCAGAGATTAACTCATTAATATCCAAAAAACTTCACTTACAACACACTCACTCTGAATAAATGGTACTCATAAAGTGAAGGTAAGAAGAGCCCCTAACCCAGAACTTTGAGGCAAAGGAAACCAAAGTGTGCATAAAACCCAGTCATCACCAAAGGTTCCCTAATGTAAGAAGAGGATGTGACGCAGGTGAATGTGTTAAATTAATAGGAAATTTTTAAAGCAATCAGTTTTAGACAAATATCAGTGATGAAGTTAACTCACCTTCTTTTTAGCAACTGTAGCCTGTCCTTCCAAAATAATATCACAGAGAGTTCACCTGCATTTATGATTTCAGTGAAATACAAGTCAAAATATTTCTGACTGCACTGGCAAAAATGCTAGAGTAAATTGCTTCAAAGTGTATCTTGACATTTAGAAAGTGCGCTTTTTAAAAACGGTGTTAATGAGAGGGGAGTGCTTTGCAAAGGTTCACTGGCCAGGAGTAATGTGTGAAACTAACTTTGAATCATGATGATAATAAAGTAACTATTCACTCGGAGACCTGAAAAGAAAAACCTGAGAAGCAACCTCAAGGCAATAATGTAGTAACGGAACATGTGAGAACACGACCTTATAACAAACATGCACATCCATACATTTGTACTGTTTCAGTTATAACACAACTTGACAATTTCACAGCAGCCTTCCAAAATCAAAAAGCAACAGGATAAAAGTAGATGAGAAGAATGTGCAATTTACATATAGGGTTTATTACCATGGTTACAAACTTTCAGAACAGGCCTCTGACACACTGGACTGAGACTCTGCTGAATATCTGTAAAAAAAAAAAATAAATAAAAGAAACTTAATATAGAGATCTGTTCATCTCAAGAAGTATGATAGTACCAGACATGCTTTCTCCAAGGTTAAGTGTTTCTGAAGGCAAAGAAATGCTTCACTACCCCGAAATACTTGAAGCAGTAATGTTATGACTTTTACTTCCCATTTAATTATGCTACTGTAAACTCCACTGGGACAAGGTACATATGGTTCTTTAGATGAGACTTGTCATACTAATCAGGATTTTCGAGGTTCAGTGCATTGATTTGTTAATGTGCTACCGACATCAGCCAACTGGAATGAGTGTCTCTCTGACATTTGTCTTTGCAAGAGATTAAGCAAACTTATGAAACTTCTGAACAGTTGTTGCCCAGAGCATTGCATTCTTGACATATGACTTTAAAAGAATTAGGGGGGAAAAAAGTCCTGGGTCTAGTTCCCCAGAAAGTGAACATGAAACAAGTACCCGGTTCAGCTGTCGGTTTCGGTGTCCTTTTTCTTCGGCGGAAGGCAGCTCCTGACTGCAAGGCCTCTAGCAGACTATCCATCACTCCTGTCTCATCGCCCTCTGTGAAGAGAGAGGCAGGAAATCCCATCAGCCCTCAGGTTACCAGGGAAATGTCAGAGCACAGGCAGAAACTGGTGACCGTACAGAAGAAAAAGAACACGTGCCAGGAAAAAGCCAGCATTTCAAAACTCTAAGTGAATTCTCTCATAAATTAACTAACCTTTAATAAAATCTGTCTCATTAGTGCTTGTGTTACTGTCCACTACAGAGGACCAAGTTACACTGATTCACTTTATAGCACTGCTTTTTATAGTCCAAAGGTATGGGAACTTTAAATTGGATGTGATCTAGTCATCTGTGTCTTGAGTTATCATAAATCATATTTCCCTGGTAGAAATGGGTTATTTTTTAAGGTATCAGTCTCTACTCGAAAACTGATCAAGTGTAGGACAGTGTTTTGGTAGCTGTCATTGAAATTCTGCTGTCTGAACTTATCATATACATTTACATTTTCGTGCTAACTTTTGATGCTCCTAAGGATTGGTATTTTTCATATCAGAGAATTGTCCCAATTCGAAATGATACAGCACAGTCACTACAAACTTTTATAGATGGTATAAAAGTTTAACTTCTATAAAAAAATACATTGTCAAGAATCCAACAGACTATATTCTGATGAAATTGACATTCTGTAGATAATTAACAAAGGAGATATAGAACCAATTCTGCCTACAGATATCAGATTATATAATATTCACACATACTTATAGTTACCAATGCTTAGTATTATTCAAAGGAAGCAGGAGAAAATGCTTCAAAGAAGCTGTTGGCCCAATCCAAATTCAAGGGAATGCTAGGACTCTTTCATCCCTCCAAGAGAGGTTATTTGCAGGCATTTTCTATGAAACTATATGGCTTGAATAACATTACATCTGAAATAACACAGAATTTTTTTTTCTGACTTATTATTTTGTTTTCCTCTTTGAAACATTCCCTTTATAGAGAATAACTAACAACTGAATGCAGCAGAGTACAAATAGCACATTCATTTACAGTTTACAAACAGATATATAAATATAAATATGTATCAGCCGCTTTCCCATCTGGTTCTCTTTCATATTTTTAGCAAAGTACTAAACTTTGTAGGTGTCATCAAAAAAGGTGGGTGAGAAATAGAGTATTTGGAGGCTGTTAATTTACACATATATTTAATTCTAAACTGGATTGTTGGCTATTTTTAATTAGCATACTAAATATTTGAGGCAAAAAATATTTCAGACAGTTTATCAAGTAACTATCTCCAAAAATTTACACTCAAATTTAATTGTGTTTTATCTAAAAAGAACTGCACATAATGCCAAATATTTAAGGGTATGAGTATACTTTGTTGGTAAATGAAAACATGCTAACAAACTAAATTAAATGTTGCAACCTCGTGCACACTACTTACAAAAGGATGACACTATAAAAAAATCTTCAAGTGAAATTTAAACAGAAGCAAATGAACATGCTATCATATTGATAGAATTAGCTATGAGAGGGAAAAAATTAATCCACGAAATTTTAAAATATTTTTAATAGCATACTACTTAATGCAAAAAGCTAAAACTAAAACATGAACTTCCTTCTTAGCAAATTTATTGCTGGTAAAGGTGTTGTTGCATAATAATTGTGAAAAACCATTAGCTGTTTACTGTAACATTGAGCAGCTAGGTAAATATGTCAATATTGTTTGCAGTAGTGATGGGGGCTGGAGGAAAGGAACTACAAATCTGGAAAAGAAGAAGAGGAAGAACCCTGAAGTATTGGATTGAATTGAGAGGAATCAATTTGGGCTCAAGGATTTAGAAAAAAAATCTTTCCCCAGCTTTGTGGACCTAGTTCAGAAACAATGATACGAATGCATCTGTGTACTTCTTGGTTTCTAAATATCAGAACTCACTAAAAAATCCAGACAGAGAAACAGTTGATTATGGATTTGAGGCCAGGGAAGCATGAATTGAGTCAGGAATATTGTGTGTAGTCAAGAGAGGAAAAGAAGTGCTCAGAAAAAGAGGGGTGTGCCAAAAGGACAGATTAAAGCGTTGTGTTGGCTGAACTAAGACTACTTGAGCTTCAAATAAGGAATGATGAAAGCAGACCATTGCACACACAGTAAGGGAGAGAGAATTATGTATCCACACTGACACTGAAAAAATAAAAACGAAGGATAGAAAAGTGTTATTTATAATGAGGTCTCAACTAGTAGACGTCAAAGATATGAGGATATAAAAATTTGTATTATAACTCACAGAAAGCAATGAATCAGGCAGGTACCATTAATGCTTGCAAAAAGTGGCATATGTAAGGCTGTGAGGAAATGCATATGGAAAAATGTAGTAGATATTACTTTACCCTAATAATCAAATTTGACATAACCAATAATAGGATGCACTGACACTAATTGCTTTCTGAAATGATAAACAACATAACCTGTGTGGCACTTTGTACAGAAATATCTAACCTGCATCTAAATGTAAGGAAACAAACATATGGGGGAGGGAATATTGAAATTTAAAATATTTATCAGGATGAAGGCACATTGCTATTAATCCCCCCTCAAAATACTCCCCCCAGCTTCTAACACACTCATTCCCCGTCATTGCCATTTTCTGAAGCAATCCTGAAAGTCCTTTTTCAAGTCTTTAGTAGGCTCCGTGGTGGTTGCTGCGAAGTTGTGAATCAATTCAAAACACTTACTTCTTGCAATCATTTTGACTTTGGGGAAAGTTGCACGGTGCCAGATCCACTGAATCGGGGCATGAAGACCACCAAAATGCTTTCATGAGGCTGCTTTTCCACTGGATGGCATTTGGCAGCAGCACTTACTGTATTTTGGTCACATCTCCTAAAGGCACTCACAAAAGAGGACTTACAAAACTGCTCCAGAAAGTGGCAAGAAAGACAGGAAAAGCATGTTTCAACAACTGAAGGAGTATTTTGAGTGAAGTTATGTCAGTGCAATGAATTTTTATTTAAACATATGATGTATTTTTTGGATTAGTTCTTATACAAGTCCAAAGTAAGGAATATTCAGTGACATTAACAAGTGCTCAAAATCATGACCAACAGGTAAGACTATGAAAAATAGAGCAAAAGAGAAGAGAGAGGAAAATGCTAGGAACTCACTGTTCTAGGTTAAAAGAGACTAAGGGGACATGATAACTAAATATAGAAGTTCCTAGATTGTAAAAATTCATAAATGACATAATGGAGGAAATGTGAATATAGACTAATATGAGGTATTCTGTGCCAATCTCAAACTATCAGCATATTATCACTACATAGGATAGGTTCATTATTCTCAGGTGATACATGGCGACATATTCAGACTCATTAAGCAGCTCACATATAGTCCTGTTCTCCACTTCATGCCTTCAACCATGCTGTTCCTCTGCCCAGAATATCTTCCTGCCTCCTTCACTGTGGTAGCTCTTCTCTTTCCTTCAAGGCAGAGGATTGAGAATCCTCTCCTGACCAATGGGGCTCTACTGATGCCATCTATGTCACAGTGTCATTAGTACACAAAGCAATAACTTGGAAAGAGAGTAAAAGACCTGCTTTTGCAGAACAAGGGAGAAAAAATAAGGAAGAGCAAAATAGGGGCACCAGGAAAGGGAAGGGGACAAAAGCAAAATGAGTTAAAAAAAAAAAAATTCCTAGTATTTGGTCCCAGTGCAGCCAGTTGGGATTGTAGCAGAGGAAATTAACTTCAGCAGACAACAGTGGCCAAGGAACTGATAGCAAAGCTGTTGTTGGGTCATTTGTAAAAACAATTGTTGATATTTTCAGCTTAGATTTTAGCAATAGTAGTAACAGATATGCAAAAGTCCTTAGGGGTAAAAGTATGTATTAATTCCTAAAAGTGCAATGCCTGATATGAATTGCTCTGGTCTGAATTTGGTATCCCTCCCAGATGAGTAAATTGGTACTTAACTTCCAAATGGGATAGTATTAGGAGACAGAGTCCTTAGGAAGTGAGTAGATTGTGACACTGGAGCTCCCATGAATGTGGTTCGCACCATTGTAAAAGGAGGGCCAGGGAGCCCCATTCTTTCCACTGAGCACAGATTCAGCAGGAAAGTGCCACGTGGTAAGAGGGTGAGCTCTCTGCACACATATAAGTTACTGATGCCCTGATCTTGGTCATCCCACCATGCACAACCACAGGCCAATACGTTTTCATTGTTTACGATAACTCAGAACACAGTGTTTTTGTTGTAACAGCAAAAACATGCTTAGATAGTAAATGAAGAATATTTACCTTTTAGCAATACCTCAAGTGGTTAGCTGTGATATACTTGCAGTGAAAGGCAGGCTAGAGAAGTAAGAGTACATAAGATGAACACAAATGGGGAGAGAACATAGGAATTAAATCAGGTACTTACCAAGAATGTGGTAATGTGTAAAATGAAATAGTAGTAACAGTATGTAATCTAAAGTGAAGAAACAAGTATAGACCAGAAGAAATAACTAAGAATAAAAATGGATTTCCTCAGGAAGCAGGAGAAGAGGTAGAGCTGTGAGTCTAAATACTCACTTTAGAAATTTGAAGACACTGAATCAATAAATACAATTTTGTTGTTGCTTGATTTAATTCATGAAAAGGAAAAGAGGGCTGATGACAAGAAGATGAAGGAAAAGATGGGTTCTGGAGCTATGGAATGTACCTCTGGGAAAGACAGGAAGAAAGATTAGATGGTACACAATACGATGAGTGCTGTGGTACATCACTGGGTGAGGCCCAGAATACCTCACAGTGGGAAAGTGGTCAGCCCATCCTATAGACACTGAAGCCTTACAGAAGCATTCAGAGAGCACTGGGGAGGGGAAGCCCTGCTAACAGGTCAGAACAGCTGCACTAGGCAGCGTTTCTGGAGGAAAAGAAACATCATTGCTCCCAGAGCTCAAGAGCCGGCCCAGAGCCCAGCCACACTAGGCTATGCTCCCCTGACAGGTTTCAGGCCTGCCCAGGACACACCCAGCAACCTTCTCCAGAACGGGAACCAGGAAATTCATCT